AACGGTGCTCTGGGAGCACAGGTAACGGTCATGCAACTGGAAGAGGTGAAGGTCAAGCTGTCCTGCAGGATTTCTAGAACTATCTTCTGATCATAATTTAATGCCCAGCCTCTGTCACTCTAGGAAGAAAATGAGCTGGCCAAAAGTTATAAGTGTCCTGATCTCCTGGCAGTTTTGCTTCTCATTGTAAATGGGCTTCTGATAACAACTGATTTCCCAAACAGCTTGCCTAAAGAAGGAATACATTAACCAAAGGATGTAAGTGTCCACTTCTCTGATGTTATTTTTAAATTAATGAACTTTCTGGTTTTTACAGTCTCTGAGAGTTTGGTGCCTGTGCCTCTGCCCCTGAAAAATGTATTAATTCTTGATGTGCTGACAAATCAGGATTCCGAGACTGTAAGACCAGCCCCGAACCCTGGGTCATGTCATCCATCCCTTGGAGACCTGCCTGGGTAGACACCAGCCTTCCCCAGCAACAGCCTGCTGCTCTGCATGCTTCTTTGATCTTCTATATTCCTCAAGGGTGGGACCATGTCTGAGTCTGATGCTTCTTTGAAATGTGAGTCATCCTCTCTCACCATGTCTGCTACAAAGCATTTTGGTTTTTAACAAATCTATTCCTTGATTTCTTTCACTCTCATTAAATCCCATCAAAATAGCTAACTCAGTATCTATTTGAGGATCAAGTCAGATGCAAAGACACTGAGTAAGAGGCATTTTTTAAATGAAACATTAATAATTTTAAAAATTCCTCAGCTGTTTTGAAAGACGACAAGCTTTTTTACATATCCAAACCATGGTAACTTCATTTTCTGCTTTGGCCTGTGATCATCAGTGGTCCTCAAAGAAGCCAATCAACTGAGGACCTCCCTCCAAGCTATACTTCTAACTGAAGAACAAGAAACCAAACGTCATGAACTCCTTCCCAGAGGAAGACAATTTCTTTCATCTCCAGTGGTTTCTCTGTCAGTCACTTTGCTAGATTCTTTCATCTCTAACAGGGGATGGCAAACTTTTTCTTCAAAGATCCACATAGTAAATACTTCACACTCTGTGGGCCACAAGTCTCCGCTGGTTGCAGCTACTAAACCCTGCCATTGTAGTGTGAAAGCAGCCTTAGATAATATGTAACCAAATGAATGTGGCTGTATTCCAATATGACTTTGCTTATGGACAGTGAAATTTGAATTTCATATAAATTTCATGGGTCACAAAATATTAATCTTCTTTTGATTTATTTCCAACCATTCAGAAATGTAAGAACCATTCTTAGCTCAGGGGACACACAGGCAGCTGCCGGATCTGACCCACCGGCCACAGTTTGCCAACTCCCGCTCCACAGCCGTGAATACCAGCAATGATTCACCCTACATATGTGCGTATGTGTGGTCGCTTCATCATACTCCCCTACCAACCATGAGAATTATGACCTATAAATGGTTCTCAAATTCACAGGTGGCAAATAAAGTCTTATGGGAAGAATACTTTCACTAAAATTAAGCCACGGTCAGCACATTAAAAAAAAAAAAGACATAAAATATCTTAAATCCCAAATAGTCGGTACTACGTACATAATACATTTCTAGTTACCACCCCTGCTCAGAAAAAAACTGTAAGATTGGGGCCGGCCGGGTGGCATAGTGGTTAAGTTCGCACGCTCCGCTTCAGTGGCCCGGGGTTCACGGAGTGGACCTACACACCGCTTGTCAAGCCACGCTGTGGCAGTGTCACACATACAAAACAGAGGGTGACTGGCACAGATGTTAGCTCAGGGACCATCTTCCTCACCAAAAAAACCCCCACAAAAAACCAAAAAACTGTAAGATCAATGAGATAGCGGTAAGTTTGTTTTGCTTTAACAATATGTCTGCTGACATTTTTTTCAATGTCTTTTTATCTATCCAAATATTTAATGTCGTTCTGATTTTAAGATTAGTATTCATACACTCTCATCTCCTCAGTCCCACCATAGTCCAAGAACTTGGATGCCTGACACATAAAAAGCTTTGGATTTTCTTTCTTTAACCTAATCCACGTATCTACATATTTTTCAACACCCCCCCCCATTCAAGTTTATATATAGCATCGCCTGTCTTTGACAACTTTCTAGGCAAGCCTAACAACATTTCTAAGGTTTTATTTTCCTTGTTTTGTTTTGTTTGTTTACATATTTCCTTACTCCTGCAGACTTTCTGCTTTACATCTCCTTTTTATTTCCAACCCCTTAGCTGCTCTTTTTCTAGCTGTCTACAACAGTTGCCACTTGCACGATGCATATATCTAAACTACATTTCCCAGCTGTGGCAAAGGTCCCAGGATCAGATCCCCAAATAGTTCACAGGGGTTCACTGCACCACTCCCTCTTTTTTTGTGTATATGCTTGAAAATGTCCATAATCAAAAGTTTTAGAAAAATAGAACATTCCTATACTCTAGATTTGGTCACAAGAGGAATTTGTGGTTGGGAAGAAATTAGCATATTTATATACCTTACCTGTGTGTCTTTGTTCACATTGCTCCCTCTGCCTGACATGTCCTCCCGGAATTCTCTACTTGATAAAATTCCCCTCAACCTCCAAGATCCGGGCAGGAACCTGTGGGAAGCATCCCTGGCAGAGCTACAGCACTTCTTACATCTCCATTAAAGCACTTATCATTGCATTGTGGTTAGTTGTTTATGTAGCTGTCCCACCTCCACCGCCCACCCCCCAAGTCAATAAGCAACTCTCATATTTCTTTTTCTTGCATCCCCAATGCCCAACACAGTGCCTGGCAGAGGGTATCAAGATTGTATCTCTCAGAAATATTGAGGGCAGTGTCCCACTAAGGAGTGACTTCAGGGGGCTTCCCCAGCCAACTTCCCTCAGCGCCCTTAATCTTCCTCCTCCCCTAAAAAATTAACAGACAATCTAAGCAAAAATGCAACTTTAAAACAAGTACCTCGAGGCCCTCTTACGATGAGACTGCCACTCCTAAACTCTTCTGCAAAGGAATTCTAGCATCAACACTGCAGAAAATGCAAGGTTCCCTTAACACCATACGATAAAATACTTACATTGCACCTCACAGCTTTCAAAGTACTTTCACCATTTTTTTCTTTTCGTTTGGTCCACTAATCCTTGGGAAGACAGATAGTTCTATCCTCATTTTTCAGAAACTCAAGGAAATAAAAGTGACATGTCTAAGATCAGAGCTGGTGATAGCTCCGGGCCTAAAACCCTTAACTTACTGACCAGTCTACTCTCCTGCACTCCACCAACGCTAGAGCTTTTGTGGACGGTTGTTTTTTTCCCCTGGTAGATTTTTCCCCGTTATGAATGGTGGTATTAGATTGTGGCACTATGTTCTAAAAAACCACTCCAAACAAAATCATTTGGGCAAATACACATTATGAAAATACAGAGTCAAATATACCCCACTGTGTTAGCATTGCTCTACGATTTTGCCGTTATTTATTGACTAAAGGGTTTCCTGTTAATTACTGACTGTTCAAAAAATGGCACGCATGCATTTCTGCAAATAGAAATATGTAATCTATTATCTAAAAAATTCACTTGTGAGGAAGCACTACTATTTATAGTTAAGTACAAGAGCTTCATTTTCTCTTCTTTTATAATTCCTCTTTCCTAAACTATTAAATTTAGAATACTTATCACATTAGCAGGCTTTTCACTTAAACATGCTCTTAGTTCCTTTACATAATTCTGTATGATTTAACCATCACTTCAATCCTCTTACTATTTATTGCATGCAACTCTTCTAATATTAGTACATATCATTTTCGACGTAAATAGGGCACTGCCTGCCAAAAACTCTTGCTGCTGCGTGGTAACTGAAAGTAAAGATTATTTCTCAGATATATTAAATTATTCAAATAAGCCACATTTAGCTTTTCTCAAATTACTACTTAATTTTTTTCAACAAAGGCCCTACAATAGTAAAGTATGTCACACTTAAAATTTTTCAAGTTTGATCTGGTTACGAATCTGCTAATTGTAAAAATTTCAATATGGCAGAGCGCAAAATATTTCGCACAAATACAAATAGAGATGTCACGCAGATAGCTGCAAGACATGAATCACTGCCCAGCTGCATCAAACTCAGAAATTCAGAGGCAGTTCAGTCTGCAGGATTTCTTACTCAGTTCTTAAAAGTTCAGAGGCATTGCCTTTCAATCAGGGTAATAAACTATAATTGCTAATATACTGTGTAATATTTACTGCTAAACCCACAATCTGGACAAACAGAAAATTACGCTGTCAGAGCCTGAAAACAATCGCAGTCCGCTGTTACACACAGCACCTTCCTTATATAGAGCTGTCGCCGGGAGTTACAATGCTTTATGGTTTTAATTTTTTTTAGAGTAAGGGTCTTTTCCCGAGAAGCAAGTATTAACACGAAAGAGGTCTCCCGCATGACCTTTCTAACACAGACCTTGAGCAAGCGACTGCGGGGGCAGAAGCGGAGAATTTCAGCAAGGCACTTGACAGCTCCACTAGGGTCCCTCACACTTTGCTTTCAAGAACAAAAAAAGAATGTTACTCTGCACCTGCCTTTCCCCCCACCCTTCCTTAAAACTTAAATTACATTTACTCCTAATGGTCTGAACAGCGGAGAGAAGGTAGGAATCTATTCTTCTGTCCCGTGATGCCGAGAGAAAATACCCACCCAAGAGCGGCGCCTGGAGGCGCGGGTGGGCGGGGAGCAAGAGAATGTGAAGGAGGGGCAGGGGGTCGGAGAGGATGGTCCCCCCCCCCACGCCATGCGCTGCATTTTCTCCACCACGTGTAAAAATCTCGTGCCGGTGGCGCCCCAGGAGAGGCACGGGTCTACGTCCCTCTGCATCCCGGCCCAGGACCCTCAGCCCCTCCCCGGCTCGGGGACCCTCCTCCCGCAGCCGCGGCCCGCTGCGCCCAGGTATGGGGCTGCGCTGCGGACGGTCTCGGGGCAGGGGCAGCGCCGCCGCGCCCCGGCCGGGCGGGGGCCCTTCTGAGCTACCTTTTATCCAGGCAGGCGATCCACTCGGCGGAGGAGGAAGAATGGGCAGCGTGCGCAGCGACCATGTTGGGCAGCGGCGCGCGGTGTCCCCGGCTGCGGCGACCTCCCGCGCTCGCGCTGCCTCTGCCTCCGCCTCGCGGGCGGCGCGGACCCGCTCCTCCCGG